GGTGATTTGTTAAGACTGCCTATAAAGTGGTGATGAACGAATAAGACCTAAATCACGATCTAACTCTGCTGGTTCGATAAATTATTGATCAAGATTTTATACTGTTGTTAAGAATCATAGCACCACTAGTCCGAAGAATGATAGGATTCACATCTCTCCTCTTTCCTGGTTTGTGCCAATCTCTGCATTTCTTTTAAACTAGAACTTCGCACATTCTTAAGGTATCTTTTTTTTCCTTTTAACTCCTGTTTCTGCCTCTAATATGTCTCTGACTAGCCCTTCATGCCTGAGAAGGCGTCCTACCAACCTATCTCACCTATTATTGACTTCCATAGAGTCCTCTGTTCACCTATTGTTTCTAATACTTTTTCATTTCTAACTTTCTCTATACCCTCATCAGTCGCTTGTAACACCACATTTCGAACGTTACTAACCTTTTTTTTTTGCCGCGCCCATTGTCTATGTTTCGCACCCGTACAGCGCCACGCTGCAAACATACACCTTTAACAATCCTTTTGGAACTTCTAAATTAACCGTTCGCGAGCAAAGAAGTGACTTCTTTTTATTGAAGGCGACTCGATCCTGCGATGTCCTCTGCTTTATATCCCTACTACTCCTTCCGTCTTGATTTATCTGACTTCCTAGATTCAGCCACTTGTTCTAATTTTCCGTCGCCTATCTTTATATTCGCTCTTTCCCTACTATTTCTTCCCTTGCATACCAGTATTTTTGTTTTACTTTTATTTATTTTCATACAACACTGCTTTGTCAACACCTCTTCTATTTTATTTAAAGCTAACTCTAACTCCTCCTTACTAGATGCTAATACTGCTATATCATCTGCAAATATAAGCATACTAATCTTTTGCCTCTGTATATCTATCAATACAGTTGTACTGTCTTTAACGATGTTGATCGCGTCTTCGACGTATAGATTAAACAGTAGCGATGAGAGTGTGCATCTTTGTTTGAGTTTATTCCTAAAAGCGGGAAAAATCATGGAGATTCGATTCTCGTGACGGACAAACCATTTTGTACGGAACCCTCAGTATTCTCGTATTCTTTCCACTAACTCGTCATTTCCAACATTTTATATCCACGGTAAGAAATTTCCTTAATATGTAATGGCTATTACTGTGTCTACGACTGATGACACTTAAGCAGGTACATTTGATCTTTGTTTATTTCATGATTAAATTTTTGGTTGTAGAATGTCTTGATAAATATAACCCTTTCGTAAACTTAATACATACGTTCTTTTATTACTCCTTTGTCTTCAGTTACATGCCTGGAAGTCTGTCGCTTGCATTTCTTATTAAAGCATTCACCTGAGAAAGGATATACGTAATAAAATTACGTGATGGGACGGTCACGTAGCATCGTGTGCCGAGTTATCTTATCTTCCCTCGCTAGTCAGGTGTTATGATACAAGCCCTGTTCACACTGTCTTGTTTTTCGGAGATCCTTATTAGGGTTATAATTCATCAGAATCAACTACGTATATTTCTGTGTACACATAATTACATAAATTAAGGATCTTATGAACAGTTTTAGAATTAAACAAATAAAAAAATAATAAACATGTGCCTACGTGCACAGATATGAAGAACGCGATGTTTGTATTTCAAATAGAAAACACAAAATAAATGAAAGTACGAATTATCTCTTTCCGAAAAATACATTCGAAATAGATATAATTGTAAAACAGGAATTTCGTAAATATTTTTTAGAATACCTATTTCATGATTTTATTAAAATATAAGTTAATATAATGTTCTCCTATTAGTGGTTGGTAATTTTGTATGTCATTAGTTCAAGCTTAGTCACTCCCAGGATGCTCACGGAAGGACACTACATATCGGTGGTACGATATATTACATTTTATAGGTAATATATTCGACGCAAAGTTCGAAAACTGGCTGTATTTTTCATCCAATTCTGATTGTGCGTCTCGTTACAACCAAAGCTTGAAATATAACTTTTGTGTACTTAAATACCACCCTCTCACCAACGTTCCAAACCACATTAAAAAAAGTCGTTTATAAACTCTAAACCAATGAAATTTTAATTCTTGGTTGGCTAATTTTCAACGAGAGGGTTGAGTTGAAATTGTTGAAAGTCTGCAGGGTGACAAAATCAATAATAAGTTATCTTTAATTAAAACCTGATATACCAACAACTGACAGAAATACAGTTCGGACATAGTGATGTATTCTTGTCGATAAGAACAAGTAAATACAGGAACTAACAAAAATTTATTTAAGAACTAAGAGTGTTTTAGTTTTTCCGACGTATGTTTCTTTTTCTCTGATAGAATTACCCGACAACGTCGGGTAACCGGTGTCATTCTCTGGACCCTATAAAAAGTGCCGGATCCGCCGGGTAGCGGATCCAAACCGGGTACACGGTCCATCTCTATTAATGATCAAATTGAAAACTAAAATAGAAAGTAACATAACTTAACATAGTCTAACCTTCTATATCATACTTTCTGAGTGATTTTTGTATGGAGCCTCAATCTGTATTAGGTTTGCCAATATCGTTTCTTAACAAAAAAAAGATAAAAATCGCCATTTATGGTAATGGATTCACTAACGAATTAGTGCTATTTGCGAACAGCAATAAGTAGCCTTGGGTTGACCTAGAAATTATAGTTTCATTTGCGAACAGCTAGTAAGTTATTTAGCTTCTGTTATATAGGGGTTCCATCTCTTTGGAATATATCTTTGGTATAGGTATATCTTTCTCCCGTGCTCGGTTTTCTACCGAAAACAATCCTTTCTTTACTTCAATAAGAGCCATATCCGGCTTACAAGCATGTGGTGTGACTGACATTACTTCATCAAGCAAGTGTTGCTCTTTATCATTCCTTTGCACTGTTGTATTTTCTCTTGAATACATAACCAAGTGATAACACCTTTGCTGTTTTCACGACACTTTCGATATTGATAACCATCGTAGACCAAGGAAGGCTTTCCTTTTGATTTTCGAAAAATGTAACGTTAAGCCGTTAAGGTAACAAATCTTGACTTCACTTATTAAAATCGCAGGGATTAATGTTATATATTTTGAAAAATCTAACTGTAAATAGGGTTACTACCACCTCTTGTTATTATGTTACTGGTTGATAATTTATTATTACCTAGTTCATTATAGGTTCATTATATTAATTAAAAATAAATACCTACCTAATGATTATGATTGTTATTATTGTTGTTTATCGGAACATCGTTTCATTTCTATTAAACAGATACAACCGAAATAAATAAAATGTAGTTGTTCGCAAATGGACCTACATTTATTTAGAGCACCTGGATCTTAATACGAGTATTCGCAAATAACACCAAAATGTGGTTGTTCGAATCAGAAACGTTCGCAAGTAAGACGACACCTCACTAACGACCCATGGTACGGGAGTCGTCTTGTCGTATTTGGGGATTAGAAATTACCTGTGCTATTCATAAAGAACCTTTTCAGCCTCAAAAAGTAGTACGAAATGGATTAAAAGCTGGTGGAATTATTCGGTCTTTGTTCCTTGAAAATAACCATGAAGATGCTGTATTGGTAAATGTTGAACGCTATCGAGGTATGTTGACTAAACCTGCTTCGACTAAAATTAACGAATTAAATTTGATTGAGCTCTGGTTTCAGTAAGAAGGTACATCCCATGTAGGAAAGTATGAATGGGTTAGGTATCGGCCAAAGTTGGCTTGTCAGTCATGAGCTCTGGGACAAAGTTGAATTACAACTCTGGGTCAGATATGGTTGAACATCGGGCCTGGATTGGCATGCAACCTTGGATCAACGATGAACCCTAAAGATGTGCCAGAGTTGGCCCATTTAGCAACCAATCTTCTGCCAAAGTTAAAATCAATGGTGGTGGTCCAGGGAATAAAATTTGTAAATAAAGTATATATATATAAACAATTATTTTAAATAACCAAGACTTATTTAAGGTTGGAATTAAGAGAATAATTGTTTATTATGAATTATAAAAAGACGAATACAATTAATTTAGTTAAATATTTGTAATAATTTATCTTTATTTCTTTGCTGGCCGTTTAGATCGTCCGCCGTCACGAACTGGAGCTCCAGAGAGATTAACAGATACTTAGATTATTGTTAAATGTTATCAATGATAATATTTATTAATCATTTTTCAAGTTCAATAATCTTTATGATTAAAAAAAAATAATATAATTCAGATTATTAAAATTATTTCTCCTTTTCCTTCAAAATCAACTATTTGAACAGTACTATTAATGTCTCTTTAATTAATAAAAAATAAAATATTGATTACAATATTTATTCAATCATTCTAGATATCATTTTATTTGAATTTAACTATAGAAAATGTCTCTGGTCAATTAAGTTGACCCAAACCTGACCCAAGATTAATCAGGTGAAGGTAATATAGCCAACTTTGGTCCAGGTCTGAGGCAGAGACAACTACCCATTCTTGTAGGTCAATTGTATGCCTAACTTTGAACTCCGGTCAGTCAAAGCTGCTCACCCGATCGTCAACTCTGGTAGTTCCTAGATGGGATTTTGTATTTAGGTAAAGGCATGGTTTCAAGTTTCTATTTAATGTTATTTTAATTTTGTATTATTACAAAATTTGTACTTTTGAACAGGTTATAAGACTTCATACTTCAAGAAAAGAAACTACTTTAAAAGAGTAACTTTGGCCTACTGGCTTCCCTCTGATTGATACACATTCCCGGCTTGCCGCTCTGACAGGCAATTAATTTTCCAACTTTCGAGAACGTTAAAAGGTTTTCAACTGGATTTTTTGTTTTTACCAAACATTATTATTAAAAGGTTAGAAGCGTTAGAAATGTGATGTTACAGGCGAATAATGAGGGTAATGTAGATAGAGAAGGTTAGAAATGGGAGGTATTAGAAAGAGTAGGAGAACAGAATGCGTTATGAAAGTCAATAAGAGATAGGCGAGAAAGATTGGTAGGACATCTTCTCAGGCGTGAAGGGCTAGTTAGAAACATATTAGAAGTAGAAACAGGAGTTAAGAGAAGTAGAGGTAGACCTAGGTTAGATTACTGATCACAAATACATAGTTACAGATGTGGGATATTCTAGTTTTATGGAAATGGGAAGATTAGCTCGGATAGGAAAGAGTGGAGGTGCGTATCCAACCAATCTCAGGACTAACGTTCCTGTCATTATGATGACGATGATGATTATTTTCATAGTGTAAATAAAGGGTTTTTGTAAGTACTGATGCATAACAATAAAAATGATTATTTTGTTAGTAATAATTCGAAGACGAAGTAAGTTAATGGTAGTTAAAGGAATGCGGATTAAGTTTTAAAATAGAACGCGTAGTTTTGCCGACTATAAATTTGGAGATACGTAGAAAATGTCAGGAAATCATTAAGGTGAGTGAAGATGGCCACCCGTCTCACCACCCTGCCTGTTGTTATTTGCTCAATCTCTAACTAATTTTCTACTAGTGACCTAAATGGGAAATTACGAATTCGTACTATGTAACAATATAATAAATGTTCATTAATATGCAATAACTTTCCAATGGGCACTTTCAACTCGTGTACTTGGTCGACCGACGTTCGTTGACTGTCTTCGTGTCTTGTGTCTTGTGTGGATCGTGGATACCATATGACGACACGACTACTACCACTTCGGAGAACAGTTGACCGAAGTAATTAGACCAGACAAGTAGGTAGGTAGAAGAATAGAACGTGTGTGTGTAGGTAGTAGTTGGCTGTTGTTTGTAGCTGCACGTATATATCACATTGGCGCCGTTCGTTTCGTACGTTTCGTTCGTTTCTTTTTTTATGACTATTTGTCGCGACGATCGTATAGTTTATTATATAGTACGCGATTGAATTTCGCGTGCGTGTAACATCATCATCATTGATGAAACGCGCGGTTGTTTCTTATATAGACAGCGTTAATAGTTATTATTGTTGTGCGGTGTTCGTCTTCTGTTTCTTGGATTGTTTACATATGCTGGGTACGATTTCGTTTAATAACGGGAGTGTGTGTGTCGGTACGCGAAAATAGTAAAACAAAACTGGTACGAATCGGAGTGTTCTGTACTTACAGGTAGTTTATTACCGCGATGATGTACTTTAAACTCCGTTTGCGGTGGGATTTATGAGTTGTTTTAAACTTTTATAGTTTACACAGTGAACAATGCGATTCTTGGCGTATACGTAGGTGCACTATTCGTACAGTTATTAACATAACAAAGTGTTTTCTTTTACTTTTTAATATTTGTAAAGTTAAATACTGTCCGGTAGCCGTTTGTGGTCTTATTAGTTGTTTTACTACGACTGGGACGTACTAGTATACTGCTAGTACTGGTTATGATAATTAGATTTATTTAATGGGTTGCCAATTTGATTGTGAAATGCAGTGAAAGGATTAATAAGGTCGCTTAACCTTTCGACGGGGATTTAAACTTTTGCACGGTAAGTGACCATAACAGTTTTACTGATGACGGATGTACATATGTATGTATTCATATGTTAAAAAATGGCTGTTAAATCGCCCACCAACCACCTATTAATTTGACCTTATATACAGGGTGTTCTACCTCAGGCGGTTTCGTCTATAACTCTGTTATTATACATTTAACAAAAAAAATGTTTTTATAAAAGTGGTCTGGAATCAAATGGTGGATACACAGAAAACATTTTCAGCCATACAGGGTGTTGCATTTCTTCTGGATGCTACCTAAGTTCATTAGTTGAAATGAAACACTCTGTATATTTTTACATTTTTGGTTTCGTTGTTAAATTTTAACAGTTCTCTGTACCATCTTTAGTAGTTTTCAAATATTCAATTGTTTTCGAAAACAACACGATTTTGGTTATTTTAAAGAGACCAAATGGCATCTAAACTAAGGGTTGGCAACTGACGGACTGCGGGCAAAGTTCAGACTGCGAGGGTCAAAAATTGGACCATCAAAATTTTTTGAAAGTAAATTAATCAAATAAATTATTTAAAAGATATTTTTTCGTAGATAACAAAGTATGTTTAAGCTATGAGCGTCACTCATCATTTTTTGGAGAAGGACCTCGATAAAAATTTCCAAAAATACCCGCCTAAAATTACCTGTCAACCCCTGATGTAAGCCATAACAGTTAAAATCCTGCGGTTACTACAGTTCGTTTTAGCACGAATCACTGTATTTTTTTCACTATGGGCAAAATGTGTAGGTAGTAAGACCCCGCTTAACGCTGTTTCATTTAGCGCTGTTTCGGTTTAGCGCTCTTTTATTTCAACCCGGGGATTCCCCGAAATTGTGCAGAGCGCTAGGTTTTATGGACCAATTTGTTGAAAATGATCCAAATTTTGACAGGAGTTCAAAAGCAAGATGAGGTGTTATAGATGTTTTATCCACTTATCAACAACTTCTAATAGAACGCAAAAGGAAAACGCAAACTACTTATAAACAGAATAGACTAAATGATCTGACTGTCTCAGAATTTTATTTTTTTTAATAAGAAAAAACGTTTGGTTTTAATTTTATTAAAAAAAACAATTATTAAATTTAATACCTAACCAATTTTCTATCCATCTTCCCCTAACCCCATTATTTACATTTTAAGCTAGTCTCGTTCAGCACTATTTCGTATTACGCTCTACTTTGATGGAACGTATCCTGCGCGTTAAGCGGGGTCTTACTGTACGTTATTCAGATCCGGAAATATCAAAACCTACTTTTGAGAAGCTTACAACTCCAATAGCCTTTTTTCCAAACCGTTAGGAGATAAATATTTAAAACCTTATACCACCGTGTACTTTCTTCATTTCTTCCTGTCTATTGCTATTTGTTTCCAATTCTTACTCTTCACTTACCTTAGGTCCTCTTCTACGTCACCCTTTTTACTTCCTGGGTTCCTGAGAAGGTACTACGTTTGTTGAATAAAATCGCTTAATATTTTTCGTTCGACTATTTTTAAAGATTTTCGTATTACCGGTAATTAAAACTAAATAAATTTATTTCATCCCGGACTGGCTTACGTTACCTTTGTTTTTCTGTTATTTTCTTATTATTAGTTAGAATAAATAGTGATTAAAGGTATAAGTATACCTACTAAAACAATAAAATTACGATCGGCCCAATAAAAATATATAAATTTTCTTTTTAGGAAACATTTTTATTCACATAAAATTAATTTTAAGACCAGTCGGATATCAAGTATTTTCTGATATTCTTCCAAAAGGGCCAGCGACATTGTCATCATCATCATAAAGTCGTCAGTCCTAAGACTGGTTGGACACGCACCGTCACTCTTTCCTATCCTATCGCATTTCCCCAAAAACTAGAACAACCCACACATAACAGCAGGTAATCTAATCTAGGTTCACTGTTACCCCTTTTAACTCCTGTTTCTATCTCTAATATGTCTCTGACTATACCTTTATGTCTGAGAAGGTGTCATACCAACCTATTTCGTCTATTTCTTATTGACTTCCATAGAGTCCCCTGTTCTCCTACTCTTTCAAATACCTCTTCATTTCTAACTTTTTCTACCCACGATATCCTCATTACTCGCTGCTAACCCCACATTTCGAACGCTTCTAATGTTTTCTTTTCCGGCCGCACCCACCGTTCATGTTTTGCACCCGTACAGCATTCCAAACATACACCTTTAACAATCTTTTTCGAATTTTTGAATTAAACGTTCACTAGCATAGAAGTGACTTATTTTATTTCTACTATTCCTTCCGTCTTGACCTATCTGATTTCTTAAATACCTAAAATCAGCCACTTGTTCTGATCTTTGGTATTCTACCTTTATATTAGCTCTTTGCCCACTTTTTTGTCCCTTGCGTACCAGTATTTTGCTCATTAGTCATGGAACATTAATATTTATATGTACACCTATCATATGGGCAGGTGGTAACGGCCAATTAAATGTGTGTGCTTGTCCTTCACCCCTTCTGATTTTTGTATCTGATAGAAATACCTGTTGCATTTGTACCTTTATAAATCAACTATGTTAACCCTTTTATTCGTCAAATGGAATGTATAATTAGAAATCAACCTTGCACTTAAGTAAAAGTATAAAAAAACAAATTTTACCTAGAAAGAGTTCTCAAATATATGGTTTTGAAAGAAGAAAGAATTAAAAATAAAAATTAGGATTAAGTGCGTGCAGGACTCAATCAGGGGCCATTCTTTAATTAAGTAAGATTTTAAGGTATAAAGTGGGTAGGTACTTGCTATTTACTGTTAATTCTAGATTTTTTTCTGCAAAAAAAGTGCACCATTATTGATTCCAAAAATGGTATATATGTACTAGGATTGACAATTTATCGATTAATCAATAAAAAAAAGGATAATGTGGTGTGGAAATAATAAAATGACCGAAAAGGACTTATCCCAATAACTACAACTTAAAACTGCGTACACGTGTTTTTAATTTGTTGTGGTTATTGGGGTAAGTCCTTTTTAGTTATTTCATTATCGATTATTTGATTATTATTCGGAATAATGGATTGTTAAATTATAATTGCCCAGATCTAATATTGTCCTTGGTTGGGTTTTCTTAAGTCCTGATCTAACCTGTCAGTTATAATTCGTAATGTAATTATCTACATGCCTACCTCACAGGTCTGTACGTATGGTAGTATTGTAAGGTGATTAATAATCGATTAATCGATTTTCAGTTTGTAAAAATAATTGATTAATTGGAATTGATTATTACGATTAATCAAGTGAATCGGTAACTGATTGTTAAAATTAATAGTCGCTCAACTCTAGTAGATACTCTGTACATGCGTTAGAAGTTGTACTTCTTTATATTTACTATTTTTGTTTTATAGATATATTTTTTGATGCAATTTATGGTGGATAAGAATTAAGAACGAATTTTCACATTAACATAGATATAATATGTATTTTAGTCTGGATATGCATCAATTCTGCAAAATTGTGTTTAATTCATGAAATATTAAGTATTAGGCTTATCAATTTCATAATAATGAAAGTAAGAGGTACCTAATTAATGAAATTTTGAAAAAGAAACTCAAGTAACCTAACCCAACCAATACCAACATAAGTTAGCTAGAACACTTTAGCTACTTTTCCATTATTCGATAAATTATCTGTTGTTTGAAATCGATAAATGTTGCGGGAAGCATGCGCCCCTTTTACAGTTACAGTGTATCAGGGTATACACTTTTTTTTAAGTTAAGTTTAAAACGAGGTAATACATTAATGAGGTACGCACCTGTTTATTTAAATTTTGTATCTTCTGAAGGTTAAAGTAGAAATGATTGAGAATAATTATTAGTATTCTTGAGATCATTTTGAATATTAATTACTGTTAAAGATGTAAATGAAACATAATAAGTGAATGGTGCCATGATATTAGTACCGATTTATATTACATAAAATACTTAATACTTTTTACAGTAAGGCAAATAATTTTTAATAGTATACCTATTTTTAGTTATTTTTCATTACCAATTTTATTTAATACGGAAAAATCAAAATAAATAAGCAATAGGTGTAAATTCTGACAGAAATACTGTAATGACCTTCTAGAGATACGTAAATTCTGCCCGATTATCCATAAATATAAATCTCATGGTGCAGAAATGCGTTGTCATGCGACCAATGTGTACATTTAAAAGTTGTCCTAAATATTTTTACCATTTATCTACTTTCCATGCATTGCAACAAGATTCGTATGTACCGCTAGTATTTTTCTTACTATTATATAGTGAATGAATCTCTTTTATTTATTTTTAGATATAAGTAAGTACTTTAATATTATATTAGTTTTTTTTTATAATTTGAAAGAACTTAGTAAACAATTCATATAATAATTTCATGTTAGCTAATGGATAAAAGCAATTCGTTTACTCAAAAAATAATTTAAAGTCTATTATTATGCAATTTGGGAACGTAATAAATGGAAGGGAACCATCACAGGGCAAGTGAAGACAGAAAGCCGCCTCACCACCCTCCTTGGATTCTACTCCCTCGATTATTATTGATTCTGGTGTTTAAACAATCGTTAACTGATCTACTAACACAGTAGTAGGTATTAGCTTGCAGTAATTAAATAAATAAATTTATATGTACCGATTTTGTACCAGCGACCTAAATAACAATTTATGGATACTACGCAACAATACATCTGCAGAGACCTATGCATATTAAATGTTTCAAATGTATATTTTTGTGCATTCATAGTGCAGTGTAATCTGTTTTGATTTAATCAAGGGTAAAAGCAGGTTGTGTTTTCATTTAGGTTAAGCCTGATATTGAAAAATTTAATATCTTAGTCTTCCCACTGAATATAGAACAAAATCAGAGGTAGCAAGTTTTATTAAGTGTTTTATTTTGGACTTTAGATCTAACGATATCGTTCATGTTTTCATTAAGTATTTAATGGCACTACTTCCGTATGATCAACGGATGAATAACTTTTGCGATTTATATACTAGA